AAAAAACCCAAGAGAGAGCCATGATTAATTAGTAAGAGAGAGTTTACAACATTGAGGCAGACCATGCATTTGTGGAGCTTTTCCTTACTGATCACTAAGAAATGAAGCAATTTAAAATGTTGTTGTCTTTACTGAATAGGAAGAGCAGCACTCTAGGAATCCTGAGTATGTGATGCTTGTGTGAAAGGGATTCACCATGTGAACTCCACAAACGGCCCTAAACTGCTCCCTGTGAGCTCTGTGTGTTCTCTGACACCGCCCTGATTTCCAGTATCCAAACTAAAATTTGCTAGTACTTTCAAGCTGTGGTTTGATTTTGTTTCTTACAATACACGAACCTATGAAAAACAGTTATTCTTCATGGTCAGCTGTTCTGCTACAGATTTTTTTTTCATTTGGATTACCATACAATACTGTTTGCTCTTCTTTACTAAGAAACTGTTCTCTAAAAAACCCCAAAATACTACCCATACATGCTGTCCATGACATCTTCTGCTTTCAATTAATAGCATATGGCAGCATAGGCTAAAATTCATTTTTGGAGATAGACATATTAAGCCAAATCTACGCTAGTGAAAAGAAATAATCTAAAAAAGAATTATTATGAAAAACAGTTGTTACTATTAGGATTTATCGGCCGCGCAGTTATTAATCACAAAGGGCATAACTGCTTCCTTTCATGTATTAGTTTAATGTTCTGAATAATAGGCTATGACACCTTCCCTTGTGCTGATGCCTGGTCACAAGTGGATGTCAGCTCTGTCTTTCCACTCACAGCCCTGCTAATTCCAAGACTCAACAGCTGAATCCTGTGTGTACTTTCTGTTCTTTCAGACACATTGCACTCTGCCAGGCCTGCAGACTGATCTGTTTTTCACTTCTTCACAGTTTACTCTTCCAGGAGGCACACACAGGCAGTTATTGTTGATTTCAATTTRGTTACTATTCAGTGTTTTGCCTTTTTGTCAGTTTTGAAATACCTCTAGACTTTCATTCTTTGGAGATGGCAGAGACATGTCAGCCTYTGAAACTGCACCATCCATTGCTGTGATGAGGCTTAACCTAATGCTTGTTTTTATTTTGATGGCCAAATCATGTGTTTTGGAGACCAAATGTCTGTCAAGATAAACATCCTCCTGGTCTGCTCTCACACCATTACAACTAGCAGCCTAGCCAATWCAGTTTCCTTATCTGTTTTGTTTAGAAAACCATTTCCATGTTTTATTTATTAAAAAAGAACAAAAACAAAACACAACACAAAGTAGCTAAGGAAATGGGGAGCTAAAAAACAAAAGAAAAAAAATGGGTTAGGACTTTATGGAGACCCTTATTTGATCAAGCTCTTTTAATGTCTGATACCTCACTGTGTTTTACAGCAAGAAACAGGTAAGTTTCTTGAAAGCTTTTCCTGTGAGCTAGTGAAATTCATGTATGCCACAGCTTGAAATTTACACAGCGAAATGTTATAGTTACAGCTGTCTGGAGATGCACATGTGAAAACAAGCATTTTACAAGATGATTGTTCTGAACACTCCCTTAAGCACACAAATGTATATCATTTAAGCTTTCTTTGCATCACGTATCTGGTGAAGGAGAGGTAGAATTAGCAGCATTAAAACCTCCCTGGGTTTCTCCCTGCCACTAGAGAAATCCTACCTTGTGCACCCAGGTAGGATTTGTATAGAAGGTCCTATTGGGTAGACACCTAAGATGAGCCAGGCAGCAGGTAATCAAAGCTAACACAATAAAGAACATCCAAAGAGCAATTTCTTCTCAATGAGCTAGTCCTACTACCTCTAATTTCATGTGCCAAACTGTTTCAGCGGCTAAGGTGAGTAGACAGAGATTCCCCCATGGCTTACATTACTGCATAGTGCAAAGACTGCTGAACACTGAGGTGAATGGACTACTGTACCACTTCGAAGCAGGAGACCTGGAGCAGAAGCTATGAAATACAAAATGTATTAGTGCAATACATTAGGAAAGGTTAACTCCTTAACTAAAAGATAGAAAAAATAYAGAGCATTCTAAGTTTTGTTAAAAAAAAATGAAGTTTTAAACTTTATGCAGTTCTTGTTGAGGTTTCAATCAGTGTTACACTTTTTTTCCCCATGTTTGTACCCCTGAGTCAAACATTTAATAAACATTGTACAGTAGGTACAGAAATTAGTGTCTAGTTAAAAAGCAACAGATTTGAATGGCCATTGCTTCGTAAGTGTTAAACAGTGACAACAACCTTCCATACAGGAGAAGAAAAAAAATAGCACTCTCATTTGCTCTTCATTTATAACTAGGTAAAAGATCTCAACAGTTTCCAAACACATTGTTTCCATGTCTTAGGCTGAGATTTGTGATAAATTAAACCTTCAGTAAGGAAACCTGTTGACGCTGCATCATTTGAGTCTGCATGGTTGACAACAACTACAACAAAGCAAAGCAATCTTTCCAAGTTATAAATTGCATGAGACCATGTTAATCTTGGAGCACTATGTGAAGGTAGGCAGAGTTCTTTGACTATAATTATCAGGGGCTCTAAGTTCAATACCCCTTACATCCAATATATTTTACTAGAGTAGTAACTAAATTGCTATAGTTTTTGCCTCTCGGCCTCTACTACAATGGAATATTAACACTTTGACTAACTTAAACAAGGTAACACTCAGCTCACTAGAACTTCTGCTGACTGTCTCCAAGAATAATTCATGCCTTTTACACTTTTCTTCTTCCTTTCTTTACAATATCAGGAATAAAAGCTTATTCAGAAGGCAGGTTCACGTGCAATGAGGACTCACTGTTAATCATTTGGTTTGTTCTGAAAAAACTGTGTGAAGGACCACCCTGTGTTAATGGGTTTAGGAGAGTCTTCATCATCTTTTGGGGGAAGCAGAAACTGTCGGGAATTAATTGAACATGGGCTCCCAAAAGATGCATTTTCGTTGTTGCTTTCAACCGATCCAGGAGAGTCCGGAGTGCCCGTGTTCCAGGCATTTGTGTTTGCTTGAGGTCTGTAACCTGTTTTATCCAATTCTTCCTCCACAGGTGAACGACTCTCTATTTTCAGAGCACTGATAGACAGCTGCATTTGTGGCTTATAGCCTGCTGTAGTCACTAAGTCTATTTCTGGCTCCTCCTCTGGTTTGATTTGAGGCTGATACATTGACTGGATATCAATGTAAACCACCTGAGATGAGCCCCCAGGTTCATCCGTAGGGGGATTTGAGATCTCCTCTTCAATGATAGGGGGGCAGTAGGACACAACAACGTGGTTCTCCATTTCTGAGTCACAGCCATCTTCAGGCACAGTGGTTTCTGCTGCTGGGGACATCATCTCTGTGTCTTCAATCTTTGGAGCTGTAGACTGTGTTTCCACCACTTCAACACTGTTGGGGGTGCATGGGTTCATTTCCAGTGTTTTGAGTGTCTTATTCCCCTGAAGTGAGAAAAAGAGGGGGGAGAAACTAAGCTAAAAGGTGTGGAAAACCTGAAAGCAACTACTTGCTGAAATTACAGCAGTTTGCTGGCTTATGGATTGTACTCATCCCACAGCCATTAATACAATACATTAAAAAAAAAAAGTTTATAATTTTCTGGCTCATCACACATTCCTGTTAATGTGAAAAGTATTTTATGCAAATTAAAGAGACTTGAGATCTTGCAGTGAGTGTCTGACAACTCTCCCCAAAATGTTATGCCCAGCTCCAGCTACTGTATCAACCAGGAGGCTGGGATATAGCAGATACACATTTCCATACTTTCTGCTTCTTCTTACACTATGACAAAAATGGGTGTGTTACTCCCATATTGTTATCAGGTACTGAAACTTCTCATTAGCAGGGGAGAAGGGAAATACAGCAGTTTTCCTAGTTCAAACATTGGAAGTAACTACATTAACAGCAACAAAGCTCTAGATAGCACCTGACAAAAGTTACTCAGTAAATTGGCTTCTTTCCCCCTGCCACAGTTTTTTCCTACAATTGGAACAGATGAGTCAAAGTTTGCAAAAGAATTCTTTAACTTGTGTTATCTTCAAAAGCTTAAAACACTAAATTTTAAATGAAGATTACCTCACAGATGTTCCTCTGRAACTGCAGTGCCTTACTGTTCTCAGGATTTGGGATTTCTGGATAAAATGTTTCTTTAATCCTTTAAAGAAGAAAGAATAAACTATTATAAAGATAGCAAGGCCTGAAACAGATTCTGAACACACAAAAGGAGCCAGGACAGAATACTGAAGACATCTGGTGCAAAGATTTAGTAAGCTGAACTTTCACTGAGTATAATGGAAAAAACAGCAACCTTTTTTTTAAAGTGGGGAATTGAATACGCCACATTTACTAAAAGCTGAAGACRGTATGTCTACCTTTGTTTGTAGAGGGCACACAAATTACAGTATGTCACCAGCTTATTTCCATKTGGGAACTATTTATAAACAGTGCTTATTGGGAGACTGGCTCCTGCAAAAACTTCTTTTCATTCCTTGCTCTGACCTCTCTCCAACTCAGTTTCTCCTTTACCTTCTACGATGCATTTTTGCCACTCACCATTAAATAAACCCCACTAACATCTTTGGGTACTTAGTGAAAACAAGAAGTAAAATTATGGAAAACTCTAGCACTGAAAAAAACACTTCTGGGAAAATACGAGAACCCAATGAAGGCATTTACCATTCCCTCTTTCGGTAGCAGAAGATGCTGGCCAGCACTCCAAGCAGCACCACCACTGCCACAGGGATGAGAATTGCAATGATTAATCCTACAGCTGGGGGGGGGGAAAGAAAAGACAGTATATATATATATTCAATGTTACCAGAAAGTTTTATGTTCTAACATTGCCACCAATTAAAGGCCATTCCATTAAACTCATCAAGTGCAGTAGTCTTGAAATAGTTCTACACCAYTACCTTTCCCCTTTGCTAGAAGGGCAAAATCCATTCATAATAATCCATTCATTGATAACTACAGGAATCAGCAGACACTGCTCTCTGGTTGCTTAATTGCAGAAGGCTTCATGTGCAGCACAAGAATCATTGCTACCRTGATTCTCTTCTCACTAAGCACTGGAATTGCACTTTCATGCCACCAGAACTGACCAAGTTTCTGGTACTGGCTTTTCCAGTTGGCTTGAGGCCAACAACTCATTACACAAACTGCACTGTCTTTTATTTGCTTGACATATTGCCTTCTTCCATTCACATTAAATGCCTCAAGTTTGATTTTTCATGTATTTTAGTTGCACCCCAGTGTTTACTTCTTCACAGGAAACATTTTTTACTCCTCTTCCCCAAAGTCAATCTCTTTTTATTTCGTAATTGTCTTTCTGTGCTTGCCTCTGTCAGGGGATCAATAAAACTGAATTCAAAGCAGAGAGGCATCTGTTTACAATTCTGAAACTGATAAATATTTCCACAATGTCTTTCTTCCCACCATATATTAGATGATATTCATCATGGGAAACCTGACAAAAACAACCGGCTGTTTGAGAAAACTAAGCTCAGACTCCACTACTATATTTAGTAGTAAGTTAGGAGTTATTTTTCATGCATACATTACCATGAACTACAAAGTAGCTGTAATAGGAAAGGATCTTTCCCTCACTCTGAACTGCACAAATTTTTTATAAATATTTATAAATAACCAACTAAATAAAGGAAAAAATTAGACTGTAAGCCCAAAAAATACCACAAACCAACAAAACAAACTCAAGCTTTATATACCTTGTGCAGCCCCTGTGCTAAAGACAGGGATTTGTCTGAACAGGGATAATCAACTTACAGTCCTCCTTTGTCACCACATAAAKGCTGTTTGGAGGGCTCAATCCACCAGCAGTGTAGGCTTGTAGCTCCAGCTGGTAACTCGTTTTGCCTTGAAGATCAAGTATTTTCATAGACTTCTTTGTTAAGTCRGTGATATTGTTAACTTTAAGCTCTGGATTCCCTGTTTGTAAGCAGTAAGAAAAGCATAACTTTGTAAAAAGGGATTAAAAAAGACAACCTYAGTTTCAGCAAAACTTTCTTGAAGTGAGCAGAAGAAACCTGAAGAACAACCAGTGCAAAGGAAAACTGAAATAAAAGGATCCTAGCAATGCTGCTGGCTTACACAGCACCAAACAACACAGGAGTTGTGGTGCTTTGTGGTGCTGCTGCTGCAGATTGACTTCATTTCCTTACCCCCTGCCTGTCCTCTTGTGAATGTGAGTCAGGCTTCAGTCCTGACAAGACAGGCAGTGGAAGAACATACCCTATTAAATATAGCTGTGTAACCTCCCTGCCTCATCTACCCGGGGCATCTGAGCACAGGACAGCATGACACATTGCCACTTAGTCACTGCATTACTTTATGGCCCCAGTTGGCCAGGGTTTTCTCCAACTTTTGCTTTATATTAAAAAACAACTGCACTAACCACACAAGGAGCTGATTATTTTAAATGCCTTTGCCATATTATGACAATTACATCAGTGAGTAATGCAACTGAATTATTATTAAAGCATCTTTTTAATTAAAGTGAAATTAAACTATTAAAAATTTAAACAAGAAAGATGYAACCAAGGAAGTTGAAATCTGTACAATTCATTTACCTGATTCTGAAAGTCTAGGCTTTAAAGCATCTTTTTCGCCTTTTGCAAAGGAAAGAAGATATCCTTTTAAAAATCCTCTGCATTCTTCAATAGGAATGTCTTCCCATTTTACCAATATAGAATCTGAAGAAGTTTCTTCAACAGTAAAATTTGGTGCAGTTTTTGGAGCTGTAGGGAGAATTATGAAGGAAATAACTAATAAGAACCTTATCATTAAAAGCTGAAACTATGTAGGTATTYAATCAGTTTTATTGTGGGGCTAGCATTTTGCAACCTTTTCCTCAAAACTCCTCACTGTACAGAACATGTGAAAGACTTAGCAGGTCATGCTATAAAAATACAGCTGTGATGGACTCATTGTTAATAATTATTGCAGTATTATCTACTAAGAGATGCCAAAAGAAAAATTTTCCTTTGTGCAACCTTCTTAGAGACCTTCTTCCTGCAACAAACCCCAAACGATTGTGTACACATTCAGAGGATACAAATTAGATTTTAAAGGCTTTAATTCCGTGACTTCATAGCTTGTCTTAAAACTAAACAAACTCCACATTCCTACCACGGAATTCTAGCTCAGCTTAAAAAACCTGCTCTTTGCATTTCCACAACTCCTTATTTCAATACCTGAAGTCTACTGAAAGTGTTACAGTAGACAAAGCATAAGGTCATGTGCACCAGGACTTAGTTTGACATTGGGCTTTGATCCACCAGGGCTGAATTCATGTTTAGGAATGCATGTGTTTTTCTCTCGCTGGTTATCTGTCCAAAGGCAAATCTGAAGTTTTAGAATGAATCTATGCTCTTGTACGTTTCTTAATTCCTAATAAGTTTCTTTTGTACGTTCAAAGCGTTTTAAGTCCATCAGAGTCTTTATACTTTGAAAGCTTCTGTATGATCTGTTTAGAACACATATGGAAAACTCTTCTGTTTCTGGGAACTGCTCAGAATTTTTGCAGAGGTACAAATGCTGAAAATTGAGTTTCTGGTAAAATTGCCTTAACCTCACCTTCAACCTTAGCAATGAAATAAACAACACCTTTTCCAAGGACTCAGATTTATGCCAGCAGCTCAGTTTTCCAAGCAAACTATTTTAGCAGAAAACACTTTAAACTTCAAAGTGAAATGGGTGCTGTAGTTACAATACAATACAGCTGCAGTTTTAAAGGGTAAAGTCATGTTCAGACACCTGGGAACAGAAAGGATTCAGACACTAATGCATCTTCAGGCCATCAAAGCTCAGCACTGGGTCAAACCCCAGTTACCCAGACAGTGGGTACAGACAGAATACAAGTGCAATTCTCAAAGTGGTTTATTCTCCAGATCTAGTTTGGATCTAAAAAGCGCTTTCAAACAGAAATGTTATGGATACTTTTTATATTTGCTGAGCTGTACCCAATGTGCTTGGAAATYTACTTTGACTTGATGAATCAAAAAAGTTGCCTCGTTTTGTAGATAGGACCACAGCCATGTGGTTCAAATTATGGCTGTGAACTGCTGTGGCACCACACAAGCTGGAGAACACAGGGTTATTGCATATGCTTGGAACTGGAAGTGCTGGAGAAACGTGTTACAGTTATACACAGAGAACAAACAGAAGCCAGCAATATTGCATGGGGATCCTGGTCTCAGTCTTCTTCTGCCAACACTGAGCTAAAAATAGACACAGACTAAGTTCACTCTGCAGAGATTGTGAATGATAAAAGTGCACTTACGCAGCTCTTTCATATACCCTGTTACGTTTTTCAACAACTGATATCCAGTGGATTTGCAGCCATACAGGGAAAAGTTGTATCTCACGCCAGGTTTGAAGAGAGCTGCAAGAGAAAATTGCTCTAAGAATATTTCACTTCTGAAGAATGACGCTTTCAGATTTCATATGATRGAGACATATAAGTATGTATTAAAAAATTACAAAGTATAATATATATAGAAATATATATATATATAAATACCATCTTTGTAATTTCTACAAAACCCATGCCATCAGATGTGGTTTAGAAGCAGTAACCAAATCTAGCTCCCACAGAAAGTTCAGTACTAAACAAAGAGGATTCAAAACAAGCTACTCAAATTGCATAAATTGCACTTTCCATGGGGAAACACAAACTGAAGTTACCAGAAATAATCCCCTTCCTTTCCTCCCACAGCAGACCTCCAAACATCCTCTATGTGGTAGATCCTGCCTCCTCCTCAGAAATACAGATGCATTTTGAAATAACCAGTCTTAGTCAAGCAACAGTACAAAAGATATGCAGAAAACTCTCAAAAGTGATAGTGAAGCACCTTACCAATGAACTTCAGTCCTCAACTGACTTTACAAAACACACATAGTCATCAAATTTATGCTTCCCATATCTTTGGTGGAAACATAGGTGTTTGATGCTATAGTGTGTGAATCATTTACCACTTTCTGAGATTTTCTCAAGTCAGAGCTGTACACTACTTTCAAGTATTTTTTTAAAACAAGATGCCACTGTGAAACTATACAGAAGTCAAACGAATTTTGCAAGAATTCAGGTCCAGCCTGAGAGATTCCCCCAGCAGGACTAAGAGCAGAGGAGGATTTGCCAGCTTGAGCCCAGCCCCAGCAGCTGGATAACTCACACATCATGCTGCAAGAACCATCCTAGGGAAGAGCCCAGGAGTAAAGCTGTGCATCACTGGACAGACACAGCATTGTCTGCTTTAAAAAAAGCAACTTCTAGCTAGCACAAACAAAAACAACATGGACAGTGTTGTAATTACAGACAGAAAAACATATTGCCCCCACTCTCCCAGGTCTCACTCTACCTCAWCTTTCCTATGTACACAGCTCCAAGTTGTTTTCTTGAATGGAGACTTTAATACTAAATTCTTCTAAAAAGCGAACATATACCCTTATAGAGAGCAGAGAAAAAAAAATCCTACATCTTTAATGGGTTCTGTCTTCCCTCTTCTGCTGCTACTAGTCCCACCACAGCTGAGTTTCATTTCCCTGATCTGCCCACCAGCATCTAGAGACCTGGAATGTGCCCTGTTCCAGGAAATTTCAATAGTTGTCAGCAAGCCAACACATGGAGGTCACACTTAAAAAAATTTGCCTCATGTAAAAACAAYGGATTAGTCTTCTCCCATCCTGAGCAGCACTGTTTATGCTTAGAATCCAAATAAAACCCCAAACCCTAGATTAACCATGATGAATTAGGCTGAGTTAGGAAATTGTGGGGTACAGCTAGAAGAGGTAATTTCAAAACAGTTAATAAACACAGGATGATAAAAGTTAAGTCAAAACTGATATTTGGATTTGGCAAGACTGTGTAAAAAATTAARATAAACACAGTACCAGGAAGAATTTCATTTATTTACACAAGCACACAGCAATCAATCTGCAACCTATAGCTTCACGCTGCTCTTATTCCACTTGCTTCTGGTCTCAACCAGAAAGACTCACATGGAATTATTTCTGACTTACCAGATTTTATCACTGCATTTGTTGCATTTGAGGGAAATTTCTGCCAGTCCACACTACAGGGTTCAGACCCAGATGAACGACACCATTTTACTATGTAGCCACAGGTCATGTYGGGGTAAGAATCCCAAGAAATATTAATGCCATTCCCCATTGCCAYGGCCTGATCTGTTGTGACATTGTCTGCAACAAAGATGACACAAAAATCCATCAAAGAGCAGACACTTATCTACAGTCCAAGATGAAAGAAAGGCTTCCAGCCACAGCACAATGGCTTTATAAACAGCAGTCATTTCTAAGCACAAGAGGCACGCGCAAACTGTGAAATTCGAAGCAATGCACTCAGCTGAGCTTTCTGGAGTGCTCAGCATCAGACATAGCCTGCAGCAAATCCCTCAGCCAGCCTTAAGTATGATGACGAGAAATGCAGCAGCTCAGGACTGGCTTTAAAAGCACTTTTTCGAGGTAAGGATTTACAGCAGATGTCGAGTTCAAATATGAATTGACACCAATTTGGCTGGAGCCTCCAGCTATAAATTCCTGCTGTCATTTCATCAAATGGTTTACTCTGTGTTTCTTTCAAAGTGTCTTGCTGTCACTCGCCCAACCACAGACAACCATTTTTCATGAAGAATCAACAGCAATAATCATGTCCCTGGTGAACTTTATGGAAGCTTCAGTCTACCAAGGGTAAATTTAACAAGAAAGAAAAAAAAATGCTTTGCCTTTAGTCTATTTTTCTTGTTTCTGATTGTCAAAGGCTTAGCTTCCCKTGAAGTGATCAGATCTGGGAACAGTTTCCGATTCCTGCAGCTGCCCTCCRTGGCTGTCCATCAGATGAGACCCTGCAGAGCTAAGGGATGGTTTCCAAAGGCCACCACAAAAGCGGAGGCCCCACGACAGATCTACAAAAACAATCTCAGGGTTTCAGTTTTCCTTTTTCAGTGTTCTCATTTGTACTCCCCATTGAGTCTATTATTTCATTTTATTAAAGCCATAAACTATGGAAGCCTGAAGGGCAAGGACAGTTTTTAAAAATTAGTGCAATGAAAACTTTACTCTGACAGATGTGCTGTGAATGTTGAAGGACTGTCTTTTTCTAAATAATCTTAACATACAGTTAAGTGTACAATCCTTTCGTGTTGGCTTATGGCAAAAAGCCCCACATTAATAAAAAATGTAAATCAACTCCACAAGGGTTTTTGATACTTTCCCCATGAAAGCTACTATGAATCAGTGAAACCACATTTACATGATGCTGGAAAAGACCATATTTCTAATCAGCAGACTTYAATTTTTCTATTTACAGAAAATAAATTTTACTGAGAGTGAGCATGTATTGTCTGAAAAATACTTAAATACACCACATTCAATCTTATTTCCTGAACTATATGACTAGAAATTTGCCATGAGMAATACTGCTCATTTTGGTGCATTTATAGCTGCAACCTAGACTAGAATTWAAAATAACTACTAGCATTAGAGTACTACTGTAGTAGAGAAGTCTGGATCAACCAGATTATACGCTCCAAATCTCTACAGAGCACTTTTCAGAGACAGTGACAAATTAATTATGGAAGACTATCCTCTGTGTTTCAGTTTTCAGAAAACCTCAGCAGATCTCCAGCTTCAAACCCTCTGCTCTCTTATGGACATTAAAAACTCTTACAGACTGCACACAGGAAGCAGCCAGAAAAGATGTCTGGGCAAAAATGTCATCCAGTTCTTTGAATGAGTCATCTTTTATGAATCCAGCCAGTGACTCAATTCCTATACCAACTCGGGAGCAAATCTTTAATGAGTACAAGTTGGGTAACACCAAAGGGAACCTCAGACATCTGAGAGAAAGCTATAAATGAATGCAAAGCTCTAGCTGCCATCAGCTATCCCACATCAYAAACCTATAGAGACCTCTTGGCTCCCAGAGCCTTATTCTTTCACTGCTGAAGGAGAGCTACAAAAGCATTTCAAATTGASTGGCCCATACAATTACTTTTCCCTCCAATGGGCACACCAAAAATATACTCTAAGGCATTTGCGTTGGTGCTGTGCTCTGTTCTGGGCCCCTCAATGTGGGAGAGACATCGTGGTCCTGGAACTGGTCCAGCAGAGAGCTACAAAGCTGATCAAGGGACTGGGGCATCTCTCTTAGAAGGAAAGACTKGGGGAGCTGGGTCTGTTCAGCCTCGAGAATAGACAACTGAGAGGGGACCTCATCAATGTCTGCCAGTGTCTGCAGGGAGGGGTCAGAGCAGGGATCAGGCTSTGCTTGGGAGTGCTGAGCAACAGGATGAGAGACAATGGGAGAAACTGATGSACAGGGAGCTCTACCTGAACATKGGGAAGAACTGAGACTGACCACACACTGGAACAGGCTGCCCAGAGAGGCTGTGGAGTTTCCCTCACTGGAGATATCCAAGCAGCACCTGGACACAATCCTTTGCTCTGGGATGGCCCTGTTGAGTGGGGAGGGTGGACCAAATGACCACTGTGGCTCCTTCCAACCTGACTCATTCTGTGATTCTTTGTTTTGGAAAAGCACAAGAAACATTATGTACAATGGTTTTCCTTCACACAGAAACAAACTTGTTTTCTCATCTCACTGCAAATCTCAGCCAAAACATATTTCTTCCTATGAGAGACTGATGTGTCCTATCAGAACCCAAGCTGACAGGTGAGCAATGGTTATACCTGTTTTCCAGGTGGGCAAGGAGAAGTAAACCCATGAATGCTCCTGGCAAACAAGCAGAGAGGGGACTTGCTGTGTAAATCTGTCCTTCCTGCAGGGCATCAGCCAAATCTGGAGCTAAAAATTTGGGCTTTGGGAGATTACATTTTCTGGCGGGCAGGGAAGCGTGGACTCTCAATAACCACTTTGCAATATTATCCACTCTCCAAGCTCAGTGTTAGGTGCAGAAAATCATTATCTGGCTCAGCTATCTCCCTTTACAAAACCCTCAGCAAGTCTGGCAGTGTTTTAATTGGGAAGCTATAGTCCTACCTCCTTTTCAAACACTGGCTCCCTAGCACAAGGATGCCAACAYTTTACCAACCAGTCCAATTAACATTCTCCTGCAGAGCTCACAGGCATTGAACTGACAATTCTTGCCTTAGAAAACTAGACAACACTCCCCAAAATTCTGAATCTCTTTAGCATGTAATACTTCTCAGTGTCTCAACAAGAACACAAAAATAAACAGTTCTCTGAATATCAGGGATCCATACCAATGCTTTTGAAGCCTCATTCTTCTTGTTCCCAGGAGGTCTCCAGGAAAATGCAAATAGCTGCAAAGACTGCCCACTATCATATTTRTTTTACGTAAAGAGCACAACTAATTGGTGAGATGCTACACTAAAAGCAAAGCATTTTTTTCCTTGTCCAACAAATTCCCAAATGTGTGGGGAAATTACATGAACAAACAAAACATTATTTTTCAATAAACAAACTCGCCCAGGTATTCTGCAAGCTTTGAAGGTGTTTATCTCTCAGTTGGGGGCACTCACCACTTGGAAGTTCCATGCTTGTTATCCTTGAAGGGGGAGATGGTCCCGCACTGTTTTTGGCTATGACACTAATTACACAATCACTTTTTCCAAGTTTTATCTCAGTACTGTTTGAGGGTTCAGGGACTACTTTATACTCCAGTAATGTCTCTAGCAGGTAGCAGGACACTTCATGAGACACTATTTTTCCATTGGCTTCAGAAATGGATAAGGGCTATGAATGGAAAAAGAGCACATTAAAACCAAAATGCAATCTAGAGAAGAAGACATAGGGTAATAGGACTTTAATGTACCTGATGACTGCATAACACTATAAGACAAAAAGGTTACTCAAGTGTGACTTTGAGCATTAACATCTAAGTTCCTAAGTTTTTAATTTTCAGCTTGGATCTACAAAAGGTTTAATTCTTCACATGAAATGCTTATCAATTAAATGATTAAATTTAAAACTTTAGTAACTTTCTCATTTGGGGAAAACATTTGTCTCAATGGATGGCTCTGTAAAAAGTTAAGAAAAGCAGTTTGGYTTATTGACTATAAACATCACTAATTTAGAAATGTCTAAGTAAACAGCTTTTTTGTACAGTTACATTACACAGTATTTTAAAAATAGAAGTGTGCTATCTACCTTCCAGAAGACTTTTAGACTTTCTCCAGAAGGACTTCTCTCTCTCCAGATATCTGGTCCTCTTGCAGGAGCTAAATAAAAAATAAGAGTGTTAGGCTTTTTCCCCCCCCACTTGCACAGTAGGCAATTCACCATCTATTAAAACATTTTTTAATATGACTAACTTTAAAATATATGGCTTCACATTCACAGGTTCAACTTTTTATCACTGGAGTGAGATGAACTTACGGGCTTCTGCTGTTGTCTGCTCCAGTCCCCTGCTCCAGTCACTCCACTTCCAGAAGTGGTCAGCAGATGAGCAGCGTACCCTGAACTGGTATTTGGTGTATGGACGCAATGACTTCACCTGAGCTGTGTAAGTTGAGGATTTCCCACCAGGCATGGAGACATTGTGCTGTTAAAGATTTACAGAAATTGACAGGATATATATATATAATTTTCTTGTAGACTACGCAACTAGTCAACACCTAAAAAGGTGATTTTTATTTTAYCCCCCAAGAATACTGACAGTGTGAAAGCTCAGTCAAGGCCTATGAAGAAGGGCTTGAAAAATAATGAAAAATTATTTCCTATGCAGTCACACTAAACAATGCAAAAGCTTCACAGATCCACCAAAACAAAGTCCTGTATAGACAGAAATTGAAGGATGACTGCAGGCAGCACCTTTGAGATRTAAAGGGTGAAAAGGAGAGGCCACACTGATGAGCTCTCAACAGGGTGAGCTCTGTACACAGTTTCAGGCAGTTGTTTCCAATCTATCCTGTTCAGTTCCCCTTTGTCCCATATCCAGCAAAACGGCTCATATGAGGCAGGCCAGTATTTCACCTCTGGTACTCAGAACCTGCACTTCCCTGAGCACATACACATCAGACTGTGGGATCAAAGGCCTTTTTCATATGAGACATGCACAGAAGGACAATCAAGACAGTCTGTTTGAGCAAGATGTTCACCATGCAGTCTGCTTCCTTCAATTTCCCTTCAAAAGATGGTGTCCAGGTTTTACCCAGGTGATCTCAGTTCAGCTCTTATGACAGGACTAGTCTCTCCTACTATTCTTAAAGCRGTGTGAATCTACAGAGCATTTCAGTTCCACAATTACTTAAAGAAATCCTAAGCCTGGGAATATTTTTTTACTGAATGCAATTATAACACATGTGCATCACAGCTGCCAAAAACTGGACTCCAAGTGAATTTAAGACGCAACTAATTGTGCATTTCTAAAGCCAAGTGACAACTTGAAAAAATACTAGAAAAGCCAAATGACAACTTGAAAAATACTAGAAAAGCCAACAATCTCTCTCAACACTTCTGAAAACATCCTCAAAATGCCATGTAAAACTGCATAACAATTTCACAGCTACTTTTGTGTCAGAGAACTCCTGGAGTTTTTTTATTAAGCAACCAGTGACGATATAACAAAGCTATAAAAGCCTCTACCAAGCTGTTTGCTGCTTGTAAAATATCTGTGGCTGTGGGCTTTGATACAGGCCCAGGGAATCAAACTGCAATGAAGCGTAAGTCCTGACCTTCTCCCACTACCCCAGATGATTGATCCAGTAGCAGGGTCCACAAATGAGTGCATGCCTCAGGTTTTGAGCTGCATATTCCAAACATATCAATAAGCTCCTGAGTACCTAATCTCTTGTATTACTTAACATGTCATTGCAGAGAAATTATAAAAGGCATAAGGCTTCTGCACTCATTAAGTGCTTTGAAAGTATTTAAAAAATACCCTTACGGAGCAGGTATCAACTACAACCCTATTATTTTGGAGGCCTATACGTAATGATTATCTCTAGTGTTAGCTAAATCATGTCTGTRGCTTGATTTATGTTATTCAAGGCTGTGCTCAACAGCTGTGCCCAGCTGGCAACTAAATGCAGAGGGTAACAGAAGACTTCTAGAAATCAAACAAGCATTGCAAGAAGAAGCCTCTGAGGTTAATGTGCTCAAATTGCAAATTCAGGCTCAGTGCACCATGCACCTACTCAAAATGGTCAGAGATATGTATGCGCAAAGAAACAGGGTAAATCTCAGGCCAGCCAAAAACACACTTCTCACTAGGCTCCCCTAGTGAAACAGGTCCCCCTGTGCTAAGTCAGGCAATACAGAACGAATATATTCCCACCACCTACACGCAGTACCTGATGCTGGTGTCTAATTTAGGATCCTAAGCTCCTCTGACAGCCAGCAGAGTAAATATACAACTCCAATCTGACGCATAGCACTAAAAGCAAGACAGCAGCTGGAAGCCTGAATGATTGGAAATCTGAACCCCTCCCAGAAAAACCACCTACTGTCCTGCTGCAGAGATCTTTGCTTGGGTTTACCTATTATACATCCCATGGCAGAATCCTTCCCTATCCGTCTCTACATCACTGACATCTGAGCAGGTTTAGCAGCTGCCCATTATGGCCACATGCCTGTCAACTTCTGACAGTGAACAAATGAACTTTTGTCTGAGAGGAACAAAATAAAAGGAGAAATTCAGCTGCAGACTGAAAGATCTGAAATAACTGCTGGAAGTCTTCAGGGCAGCAGTGCATCCTGGAACAAGAGTGTGTTAATGCAGTTTGCACCAAGAAGATAAAGCACAAGGACTGTTACCTAAAAGGTCATMAAGCATAAAGCACCACTTCCAAGTACCAAGTAACATGGTGTGTAATTTAACCTTTCTCTAAAGTGTGTAAAACAAAAAAGCCTCAACCAATAAACCAAAACCACTGAAAACAAGCAACAAGAGAGATGAGCAGGAAGTTTTCTGATTCTATGAATGAACTTCCTACTCTTACTACAATAATGACTTAATAAGGTCATCAGAATGAAGCTCTCAGTGAGAAAATAATTTGAAATGTGATTAGTTCCATGAAAAAATCCGCATTTGTGCCAAAAAATTATCTTTTAAAAGCAACACTTACCAGTTTTTTCCCAGAGTGACCACTGCTGACTTCAATTTGACACAGAAGCCTGATCCCAGCAAAACTGCCATTTAGAAACCAACGCATCTGGATGYTTGTAGAGTTGTTCCCAGTAACAGATAACTTTTCTGGGGTTTTTGGATGAACTTAAAAAATAAAGAAAAAAACTTTCAATTCTAAGGAAAAAAAAACCCCATTTACTTTACTTCAGAAAAATCTTATTTTAGAAGATCAGAAAGAATCAGAAGAGTAAGCATTTCAATCAGCAACTGGGAAAACTGCTACCAGGAAGGAACCTGCAAGCAGTCTCATTCCTGACTCTCTTCTCATCTATCAAACATGGAAACAGATTTACTTAAGACAGAGTTTACTAGCACATATGATAAGTAGTTGGGACACTGAAAAACATTTTCTCTTACTGATTTTATCAAAAAAGTGAAATAACAGCTATTTCAGAGGACCACAGTGATCAATGAAATTTACTCAACTTTGTTCACCTCCTGTGAACTTTTTAAGTTAGGACTTAAAATCTGCTGAATAGGACACAGGAAGACTCCTAAATGACCTCTCCTGCCCCAAAACTCCATTTACAAAATTTTTTAATAATATTCTGCACTAATATGCATAGCTATCAGAAAAAAATCTACTGTTGTAATTGGCCCAGTTACCCTTAAGGAAATATGAACTCTACTTCAGGAATTAAGTGTGGAGTGCAGGAAAGAAAGAAAAGGAAACAAATAGGAAATGGCAGCATATCACCTGAGTATGAAACAGCCCAGTTTATAATTAATAGAAACAAGTTACACTTTTCTGAAYTCTTTCAATTTGCTCTGACAATTTTAATCTCAGGCTAGTTGAACTGGGATCTGGATAAAGAAATGCATTCTCCTCATATTTAAATTCAGTTTTTTTGAGAACAGCAGAATTCTGTAACCAATMGGAATCCCTGAAACTTCAGCTGTGGTTGTGGAGGAGAAAAGGATGGTGAAAGCAGTGCTAGAGCAGTGGTCATCTCCCTTTCCTTTTTTAAACTGAAGGTCTAATGAGAGAAGTTGCTTCTTTCTCCAAATCATGACATGATCATGGCTATTACCAGTAGCACACAATAGTCCTGATATTACCTTCTGTCTTTTCATGCTATTTTTTTAAATCCAAATCCTGCTGCAGTAAAACTGTGTCATATTTTGCCCCTATAATGAGACACTGAATTTACAGTTCATAAAGTTACACCTAAATTTTAATTATTGAAGTGTAACAGAATACGAAGCAAAATATTAACCTGCCCAGATGACRCYTCATCCCTGGAAGTKTTCAAGGCCAAGTTYGATGGGACCCTGAGCAACCTGATCCATTGTGTGGCATCCCTGTCCACAGCAGGAGATGGAGCACAGAGAGTGTGTGTGGTGTGTTGGAGCCAAATGATCCTTAAGGTCCATTCCAGCCCCAGCCAATCTGGGATTCCTTGATAAGCAGCAGCTGGCTAATTATTGGATCACTTACTAGCATTTATCACACAGCAGTCTGTCCAATACAGCAGCACTGCTGCTGAGAACTGGCACCTCCCTGTACAGCTCATCATTGCCTCAGGACATAAATAATTTTCAAGTTCAAATTATTGAATATGGCAATAATCCGGTGACAATCAAGTAAAATAATGAAAAGTATATGATGTCAGAGYTCTTGAAACCCAAAACTAGTGAACAGCATGTATTAAATACATCTTTTTGCCTTTGTAAGTCATTAGTCTTACCTCTCCGAGTTATATCAACCAAAATAGATGACTGTGCTTGCCCGATAGGATTGGACACACCTAATATGAAATCATAGGTTTTTTGATCAGGCTGTACTGGAAAGCTGCAGGTACGGTCTCTATTCATTTCATTGACTTCGCATGAAACATTTTTACCAGACATCCTACAAAGTAAAAAGGGAAGGGAAAAGCTTCGTTTTTGAGTAAGTTAATTCCTAACAACAGTCAGAAGTCTAGACTGAAAACATGGTACAGAGTGATGGGTTCAGTTCACATGGCTTACAGAATGATTTGATTGCAGAGGCATATTTAACACCACAACGCAGGTTAAAGTGGCATCAGTCATGACTTGCCCTGTTCTCACGTGAAACTTTCCTCTTCCACTAGCATAACATTTCCATTCTCTCACTTCTCAAAAGCCTGGAAAACAGGTAGGTCCTGTAAAACCACCTCACAAGTCACAACTAAGATTCTGATTTAAAGTATCTTTGTTCAGATCAGCATACATTTGCATTTAAAGAATTTTCTTAATTGCCTTCTGAACCAGTGAGATGCTACACACATTGTCTTTCTGCTAGCCCTGCCAAATCTGAACTAAAGATCTGTTACCTGGAATACATGCACTAGTCTCAGCTGTCTTTCAATCAAAAACAGGAGAGGCAGTCAAGACATACAAGAACCGTGGTGGATTCTTAGGGATAAAATCTAAAATGTGTATCTMTATTTATGCACATGTATTTGCTTTAATTACAATCTGTGTAATCCTCTCATTCAGTGCAAATTTAACTAACTTTTTCCTTTGGGCATTTTTACCGTGTTCTAGCTGAGCTCTGAGCTCCATGCACTCCATGCTCTCTCAATAGTTCAGTGTGGGCTGAGAACAAGGATGAGAGTATTTATTCTGAAATGCATCACATTAATCTCACAGCTTTGGGCTGAGCAAAACAAGACTGGACAACATCCTTGTTTATATAATGATCATGGGCAGTCAGTGACTGAAGCTCCTTTCCTGTGAATACCTGCTTTGTTTTGTCTATCTCTTTGCATTCTACCCACTGACTTTTTAAAACACTGGCATTCTAGATGACATCTGTGACTGTAACTCAAACCTCATTGCCTCCAACGTACTTCTAAGCCACCATGAGACTCCATTTCTCATCATTTTGTGTGACTCAGGCCTCTCCTGGCTTCCTTCCCTGACTGCTCCTTTGGAAGGACACAGGAGCCTCTTCACCATGGGAATTTTGTTAACTCCTCACTAACTTCTAATCATAATCACCAAGAAATCCTCTTTGCAAGTGCTATTACAATGTTTCTTCTTTTTAAAGGCTTTACATGGCCTGCCCTGTAAGACAATGTAGTAGGATACTAGTTGACTGCTTTCTGTGGATGAAACCAGTTTATTTGACCCTTTAAGTGTTTTGTGGGTAACATTTATTCTGCCTGCTGAGAGAAGAACAGATRGAGGCTAATTGCTATTTTTCCCTAGTGACTCTTGGGAAATGTCCCACAATCTGTCTTACAATTGTTTCCTAGTGAACTTCTGTCATCCTGCCCAGCAGAAGCTCAGTAAATGTCTGACATGATCTGACTGAGGTTTCACAAAAAAAAAAAAAAAAAAAAATTAGTGATTGACCCTTACTATCTCCCTGCATTTTCATATTGGTCTTGTCCACATGTTGGCAGCAGCCTGACACACTAAACCCTTTATCTAATCGTGAGTTCATAATGGTATAAACCTAGGAAAAGCCAGCCTTAATCCTCATTGGAATTTGCAGGGCTAGATAAGGGTTTTCCAAGTTTAGTTTAGGTACAGCTTCCAGAAACTCTTGGAAAGTATTTTGGGCTTTAAGCAATCACATTTAAATAGGTATGGTGCATTAAGTCACAGACAACAATGGAGGTACTCCAGTTGTACCCTTTTACTCCTTTTAGTGCTGATTAATTTTACCTTTCAAATAAACTGTACTTTGTTTTTCGTTCTCCATATAGTCCACTGGGTCTGCCTGGTTTCCAGGTGCATTTTATTATAAAAAAATTGGATGTTTCACAGCTGAGGTTTTGAGGAATATCAGGAGCATCTGTAGCATGAAAGGAAATCAAAACAGTTAGCTGATGTTTTGTCATCCTTATGTGACATTTGAGTCACTGGATTCCTTAAAGCATTGATCTTTTGTTTTGCTGGGTTCTGAAAGCATCAGTCTTTTGTTTTGCTGGGTCCAGATTGCGTGCTTCAAAAATACATGGCAATAGTTAGACTCCAACCACATAAGTAATCATATAAGTAATGCTTTTTTAAAAATCACAATAAAATAGGTGGATAATTATTATCAGCCACATCTGACTAACACTTGACTCTAGAATTCTAAGTGGGTGGGTAATCTGGCAAATCACATGCAAACATATTCACAAGCTCCAGGCTCTGACCTGGAAGTGTTTCACTGAAACTCTGCCAGGAGTTTTCTGAAATTCTGAGCATCAGTTCAGCTGCTGAGCAATGAAGGAATGCCGTCCGCTGTGTGTCACATTTTCTAACGTGCCAGCCCCACCACTGCTTTGAATTCTCCAAACAAGTCGTGTCAAGGAAATGGTCCCTTTAGTATGAATTCCACACCGAATCTAAAAATTAAAGCCATGGCTTTGGAAGTGCCCATTTTTCTTTTCAGTCTTGTCCTTTGCTCGCACACTAGAGCAGCCCTGAGCGCCTTGCTGGAAAAGATGGGCAGCATTCCCAACAGAGAGGGTATTCAGAGCATTCAAGTCTTGTACACTTGTGATGTATGGAAAGTATATGCCAAAGGTGGCACAACAATATCCACATAGAGATATATCCCCTTCTCTCTGCCCTAGAGGAGGGGAACTAACACAAGAGGCAACAGTGGCAGGCTTAGTTCAGATTATGAGCAGTGAGCCAAAGAAAGAACACCTGTTTTGCTAGACCTAGGTTTAACCAAAATGGTGTATATACATATTTACTTCCTCTGCCTTTGCTTCCCCAAGATTCTCTCATCAACAAGTAGACCATTACAAGTCCTCTCCTCTCTAAGTAGGTACCACAAAAAGAAACACTGATAAGAAACTGACTTAGCATCCCATCTCTTAAAAAAAAAACCAACAAAACACTGTGGTGGAAAAACTCATGGGATTGCCACAGCCTTCATGCTTGAACCACTCACTTATTTACCTGGAAGATTTTTCCACCAAAGCAAATTCTGCACAAATAACACAAAAAGAGTATATCACTGAGAAGTCATAAAAGGCTGAATTGTGTTTTGCATTGTCCTATTGCACACTTAAGAGACTAAGTCAATGACAGGATACACAAGACTGGATATTGAAACACATTTTCAAAATTATCCCAGTTTCTCCTGTCCTTTTCCTCAACTGCAAGGACCATAAGTTCAAAGGCAGGCATTTCTAATGGGGAAAGGGATTCTAATGAGCAACTACTGAAGATGATAACTCTCAAATTCCCTGTGGAGAAAACACATAAATGTTTAAAGTGACCAAAGACAGGGAAGAAGAGCGAGGTACTTTCAGTCATTTGTTTTAATGGGCATCTGTTTCTGGAACATATGTCTGAGCCGGCATGGTTACACAGAGAAGATACCGTGATTCAGTATCTTTAAAGAAAATACTAAAAGGATGTTTTAGAAGAATGTCCAGGAAAGAGGAATTATTGCCTGGTTTCCTTTGCTGTAATTAGCTCCCAGGGAACTTTGGCCATGAATGAGCATCTGTTGTTGCTGTTGCGAGTTTAACCATTCTCACTTAATTGTTGCGAGTTTAACTGTTCTCACTTAATTGTTTTCACTTGACTAGTTGGTAAATGAATGTTTGCACTCGCAGTTCTTGCTCTTACTCTCACCTGGTCATGGACTAAACTAGAACAGATGTAAACCTAAAGCAGTAGAGGCAGGGGTTGAATATTCATATGGCAATAAACTACTTGGCATCCCAGATAATTAAAAAGTACCTAAGAACAAAGGATCAATGAGAGAAGCACTGGGCCAGGTTCTAAAAGAAGAGGGCTTACATGGGTACCTTCTCATCCTTCCAGCCTTGGTGTCTCCTCCATAAGCTGGCCTTTCAGAAGTGAAATCAAACAWGTACAATCCCCAGTTCAACTTCAAAACCAAGAGCCAGGTAGAAAAAAAGCCACAATAGCATTTGTTTCCTAGCAGAATCCTGAGTCTCAAAATGATTTTGATTTTTCTGYGGTTAGTAAACATGATACGTACATCCTACAAACACGACAGTTCCATCCATCCCATTTTCGAGGTGGCACACTACATTTGTCCCGCTGGTATCTGAAGCACTGGCATTTAGCACTCTGATGGCATGGCTCCGACTGCTCAGCTGTATCATTTTGTAGGGTTTTGACCCATAAGTCATATTTGTTATGTGCTGATCTTCTTCATGGACACAACAAAATGTCACATCTGAACCTACTGCCACCACAGTGTCCAGAGGAAACACACCACTCCCACCGGGCTCGCTATCTTTTCCTAGTAGAGAAGGAAGAAGACAAACAGAAAACAAACCCAAAAAACTCCACATGAACAATGTGCTACAAACATGGTGCTGATCAGCTAAAATGTGACTGAGGAGCACTCCAATGCATGCAAAGAAATGTATTCTAGGTTTCATTAACTAGTGATTGCATTATTTCTCTAATCAAAACTGTTCAAAGCCTCAAAGGCAGCAGCCCATCATYGTCTAATGTTTTTTGTCTGGTTTTGGCTTGACTCTTACAAAGAAATAAAAGTCTGTGGGATGTCAAGGGAGCAAACATACCAGGGATGACTTCTGCTGGGCTCCAGTCACTCCAATCCTTGGGGCCAAGAAACTGTGTTGCATTTATGTAAAAGCGAATCTTCACATAGTGTGATGTGCACTCCAAAGGCATATCTGATGTCCAGTTCCAAGAAAGAATGACGTCTTCATGAGTCAGTTTTGAGTAGTAAGTAACCTGCAAAGTTTTTGCACCAAGAAATGAACTGAGACAGAGCTTATAATCACCTTCTACTAATGACATATAATCTCCTATTTGTCAACAGAATGGCAAATTATGTGAAGTAAATCGCAAAATCCTGATAGACTATTGGAGCCTTCCACCTAACTTTTAGTTGTGCTGTGAATTTACCAGGACAAATATCTACGGTACTGAACAGCCCACCAGCTAAGTACCCTGCCAGCCAGAAATACCAGAGGGCAGATATTTCAGGGAGGGCAGAAGGATTTCCAGGTGTTTAAAGAGGTATATACTGCACCMTGGGCTTCTCCCAGGAAGTGAAATGTTCCAACTTCTCCAAATCCAAAAGAAAACTTTTCTAATATTAGTCCCAGGCTGCATATTTTGTCTTTTCTTCATTATTGAAATTTATAGAACAGAGCTACAAATTGACCTGGAAGAACTGGTTACAAAAATAGTAAAAAGCAAGCTGAGCATTCAAAGACCACCAAGACTAGAGACACTGTTGGAGATATATAGTATAAAGTATCTGCCAAATTCATAAGTAAGTTCTAATTAAAAAATCTCTCTATTAGATTTTAAAATCAGAAAAAACCTGCTGTGACTAAGCACTGGCAGTGTTTCCAAAACTTTCAAACTTAACAAGAAGTTACCTACCAGAAGCACGAATACAGGTCCTGCAAAGYTTTAGAGTCTTCATCATTGTCAGCTTCCTTCAAGTGACCTCTCAGAACATTACCAAGGGCAAAAATTGTATATATATATATTTCATTAAGGAAGTAAGGGACTTACTTTTGTGACTTCTTCCATTGTTTCTTTTCGGAGTATCTGAATTTGCCAAAGGGCATCCAGTCCATATGGGAAGACTGATCCATTATCACTCCACTTCAGATTTAATGTGGAAGTTGAAAAGTCAGGCGTTAAACTAAGAATGCGTGGAGTGACAGGAACAAAGGCTTGAAAAAGAGAGGGGGGGAAAAAGGCCATATTCAGGTCATCATTCTGCAACACCAGCCCTACAGGTGTCCAACAGCCACATCTCTCTGCTCTGAACTGGCCAGTAGCCATACAAACATGTGACTCAACCTCTGTAATTAGAACAAGATGGSCTCTCTCACTACTGGAGCATGGAAGTTCTCAGGAAAGCACAGGTGTTGATGAGTCATAAGATAGCAATTTCTTTTAATACCTCAGCGTGCAGATAGGCAAATAACTGATGGTGAATGTGACTTTTCACAATGCATAGTAGGGAAGATATTCCAACTTTCACAACCTTCCTTCAATACCACAGTGATAAAGGAAATAYGGAGTCAATTTTTGAAGTGTGCACAAGGACACTTACAGGAAGGATGGTGGAAAAGGCATCCCCAAAAGAAGAAGCATGTTTTGGAGACCAGTAGGGAAGTGGAGACTTGCCACAAAAGGGAGAATAGGGAGGAAGGAGAGCAGAAGCATGGGATGGAAGAAGCTCACATGAGGTTCTGAAGAAGATTATGGGGAAAATGATTTTAAGCTACAAGAAGCACTAATGGCATGACATCATGATGGGGCAGGACAGGGAGATTAAACAAGCATCTCTTCTACAAATGCATGGTGGTGAAGCAAGAGRTTGAGAAACAGGGAAGAACTATAATGGTACAAGGGTTATGGCAGTTCAGTGGGCCTGGTGCAGGATAAACATATTTTTAAAATGTGTGATACATCCAACTTCAGTCCTGATCAAGGATCTGAGAGCCTGCAAAGTGTTCAGCACAATCAATACACTGTCCACAATAACCTGCAATGAACCTAAGAGACATATTCTGCTGACCAAATATTTTTGAGCTGTATTTTGTTGAAATTCTTGAGCTGCTCTTGACTGCAAACAGAACCATGGATAAGAAGTGTTACTGACTTTAGAATCTGACTACACTGAAGGAGTAAGCAGGCAAACCAAAGCCAAAGACTAAAGTAAGCAGATTGTGTCACTGCCATCTTTAGTTTACAACTTGCTCCTTTACCTGGAAGAAGTGGGAAAAAGTCTAATTTACTTATGTGTGTAGATGAGGAATTTGTTTATAAATGCTTCCTAATCTATAACTAGGACAAAAAAGGGCAAAGAGTGGGGGATGTAACATTGTTGTATTTTGCTTTCCTCCTCACATTCTGCCCTTGATTTCTCTGCTATGAACTATGGGTAAGAGGAGTATTCTTTCTCTTGAAGGGTTAGAGAAAACGACCTATGGTGTATGGCAGCTGCATATGGACTTGGCATATCAACATTTTACATGCAGGAAGGCAGCCAAAGAAACCTGCAAGCATATACCCATCTGAAGAATGGTTGAACATAGTATGAAGGCTTTAGGTACACATACACAACCTGATACTTACAGATGTCTTTCTCGTGAATCACGAATTCTTTGGTAGGAAAAGAAGTTCCAGAGCTTTTGATTGTCACTCTGCTGGAGCTCTCTGSGAGTGGAATCTCAACCCTTCTCTCCTTAGTTTTAAAACACACTTGAGGGGTAAGGTCACTGAAAAGACAGAGAAGATTAAGGAATTATTTCAGCTGATTGGAAGCTAAGGCAAGTTAAATCCTGTTCTTGGACACTAATAAAACAYGAACTCTCTGTAATAAACAGAAAGCTTCATATCGAGTTTGTGAAGGAGTGAGACTTGCATGGGCTTTGGTTAGTCTCAGATAAGTGGAATTACCTCATCGTTCAAGTCACTTTTATCACAGTGATATGTTGTACATCAGCTGTGTAATGCAACCACCTAGTTTTAAAGAGAACAGTTCAAAGTGAACACCTTGCATTTTAACCAAAATAATAGAATCATAGAACTGTTAAGGCTGGAAAAAACCTTTAAAGTCATCAAATGCAACTGTTAACCTAGCACAAGCACCATGTTCACCATTCAATCATGTCCTTAAGTGCCATATCCACATAGCTTTTGAACACTTCCAGGAATGGTGACTCCACCACTTCCCAGGGCAGTCTGTTCCAATGCTTTACAACCCTTTTTGTGGAAAAAACAAAAAAAAAAGTTTATTAATATCTAATTAAACTCGAGGCAAACGAAAGACATGTTTCTGAAACCTAGTGCCTATGAATCAACATTTCAAAGTAAGAAAAAGAAAAAAACCCAAACCAAACCTAATAGTATTGCATGTTTCTGAAGGCTAGCCACCATGAATCAATATTTCAAAATAAGAAAAATTAAAAACCCTAATAGTAAACCAAACCTAATAGTATTGGCCCCTCCCTTTGTGTTTCCTGACTCACTCTCCCTCCATTTCTTCTCAAAGTGAGGGCATATGGGTTGAAAGAGCAAGTTTACCACCTGTGTCCACATCTTAGAACAAATCTTTTAGTTCGCTTCTGCTGCTTAGCTYACAGGGAAAGAGCAGAGAGCAGGGCAGAATATTGCTAAGATCCCAGGTGAAAAATCAGTCTGTACTCAATATTTGTGCAGTGCTCAGCACAATGTGAATCTGGCTTTTGTCTTGAAGATGTAGATATATACAGGAAACAATAATGGATGGGTCAAGTCCCTTCGCTCATTATCACTGATACTGAGCGATACATAACTAGAAAGGCATAAAGTTTGGAAAAATCCAGACCTTCCTCTTGGGAGAATGACRGCAGGAAGGAAAGCAGAGAGAACAATGCCAGACTTCCTGCTGAGGGACTGTTACTCACTTATGAACTGGCACAGGACCCTGGAGCTCCCATCAGCTGGAGTCAAGAGCTTGGGTTGAACCTTAAGATTCACGCAAGACTCCAGGCTAGTGAAGGCCAGCTGAGACTTAAATGCTCAGAMAGGCTATCTCTCTTCTTTACTGAGAAATTGTAAGATGATGTTTGGGCAACTGCAAAACAAAACCTTTTTTCTCTCAGGGATGTCTGCAACAAGTTCATCTCAGACTCTCTGCTTCAGGGACCCCAGCCTGTCCTGCTCTGCTAAGGGCAAACAGCAGCAGCTACACGATTGTTCTTCCTCAGAGGGCAGTACTTCATGAACTCTGCACTTCTGAACTCTGGCCACAAAGTCATATATATGGTGTTTTTTAAATAGAAATGATAGCTGGCAAGGCAGCAGGAATAATGAGACACAGAAAATCAAGCATGTAGGTGGACTAAGTGCAGCCAAGCCCTGGGACCCCAAGGAAAAGTCTGGGCTGCCTGCAGAATTTACAGGAAAAAAAAAAGACAGTACAAATATCTGGATTTGGGGCAGGATCAAGATGCAAAATGGATTTGAACTCATCCCTAGCACATGATAAGTATTTGGCAGACCCACAGCATGGGGAATTGAACATGTAGTTCTCGTTAGTGAAAAAAAGCATAGAAGATTTAAGCTGTTTTAACTTTTCTCAAAATTCTTAATTTGAACTCACTTCAGAAAAACTGTTTTTATTTGTGAAATAATTGTTTCCTCTAATACCATGTTCTTCAGAGAGCTTAAAATTTTTAAAATTTTAAGGCAATTACTGAGAGATATTTCATGTTTTTCATCATAAAATCCACGTGAATCTCAACACTTGTGTCATATATTCTACTGCTTTGGCCCACAACATCAGGATTCACTCCTTCCAACTCTCATTTCCTTTTGGACTGAACCTGTTTTGAAGATATCCCTCATGAAAACTCTGAGGAAGGGATAGGCAGACACACAGAGAAGTCTGAGTAAATAAGAGCATCTTCCAGTCCTTTGAAAAGAGCAAGCAGATTTTGGCAGGCAAATTGTTAGCATGGAACAATTTTACCAGAAAACCTGCCATTGCCTGAGTTAACAGGGCCTAGGGGGAGCACCACCCAAGGAACACTGATGGGGAGATGCTSGGAAACAACAGCATCAAAATTTCCATGGGCAGCAACTGAGGAAAAACTGTAGTTTTGTCACGATTCGGTATTTTTCAACCAGGTAGTGGAGGACTTACTTGGTAGTGTAGCAGAAGTCASTTTGTCCACGTCTTCCTCTAGAAGACACATCCCAAGTACAGACCATTTCCTGTAAATTGTGCGTTACACATTTCAAATTCTGAGGGTCCCCTAGAGAGCCTGAAACCATACAAGAAATACAGCAAAAAATTGCAAGTCAAAAATAAGCAACTGTAASACAACTGCTATTGTTCACATCTATAGGCTTTCTTCTTACATTTGTATTGCATGCAYGTCAGGCCATTATTTTAAAACTGCTGAATGATTTGTGTGCCTGATTAGACAGCCACAGACTCACAGACTTCTAGAGGCACCTAAGATCTGGATTTATACTCATGTGTGTAACACAGGCAGCTGCCTCTTGCCACAATACCCGTTCCTTGCCTAGACTAATAAGCAGGCTTTGGGCCAATGGCAAAACCACAAGCTTTGATTTTAACTTAATGAGTTTTTTGCTCTCCTCCACTGTCATACATGGAGTGCAATTAATGACAGACGGGCAGTTAATGATAATGTGTGAAATTTTTGAAGAGAGCCAGCATATGCAGCAAAAAGGTTTCACAGCAGACACTTGGGCCAATGCATGTGAAGACTACCAGTGGCATTATTGAGAATTTTACACCCAGTTTTGCACTGGTTCACAAAATGTTGCTGAGCTCTGGAAAACAGAGACCAGGCCTGGCAGTACCTCCATCCCTAGATGGTGTGGGGTCACAGAGGTGATGGGTTTTGAACATACACACAACAGAACAGCAATGCAATTAAATGTGTCAATACAAAAGYTACAGAGAAAAAGTAGCTAGTGAATTACATTGCAATAAACTTACCTATCTCTTGGCTATATACTAAGCTTAGGCATAAAATAGCGAGTGCTAAAAGGCAGCGGAGGCTTGAGTTCTTCCACATTCTTCTACTGTTTGTTTTAGGAATAGCAGCTTTAAGCAGGAGTAAACGTCATCTTCCAACCAGCTGGTCAGTTCTAAAATTAAATATAGAAATAAAAAAAAAGAGAACAAAGTTTTAAATTCTAGAACTGGTATTCCACAAATGCCACTTTTTGTTCCATGTACTTTTCTTCCTCAGTAATGTTCCCAGGCATAGCAACTCCTTTTGCTTTGTCTGGCAAACAAACCTCTTCTYTGTCGCAACAGCTGCTTGGTTCATACATTTTCAGTAATACATTTTCCCCASAATCATAGACATATAAAACTCTACAGTTCATAGGTATCCTTCAGGACTATCTGGTATCAGAACAGACGGGAGAATATTCCCCTACAATGTGCCTCTTCAACCTAGATGACACGTTATATCCACAAAGGATATTGTATATTGTGAATGGAAATGTCCCCTGCTTCATTTCTGCACACAAGGGAACAGGATAGACCCTCTGCTTTCTTCTTTCCCCTGCTCACTTTTCATATTGCTGTTATTCAAAGTTATGGGATGCCCAGGATGTGATCACCCAGGATCATTGGCTCAATCCAGTGTTAAATAATCACACCTGAAGAAAAGATATAATGGGTAAAAAGGAGTGAGCCATTTCTCTRTCAAGATACTTTTTGCTGCAACTATTGACCTTAGAGTAAAAAGTTATCTGGAATATTGTGTTCAGTGTGTTCTTTGAGGAGTAACACATTTCTTACTTAAAATGCGAAGTTCAGCTGCTCAGGGGGACCCAGGGACATCCAATTCCATCCAAAATTCTATGACCTTCCGATTTTTTTCTCAAAAAGGAAAAACTAAAGGACAACCTATCCATAAGCTCAGTCAATTACTGGTGTATGGTTTCCCTGCTATGTGAAATCTGTGAAGATTTGAGCACCCTCCAGGGGCCATAACTCCCATGTAGCAAGAGGCCCTCGCTCAACAACCAAGAGCAGGAAATGGGGCATTTTCATGGTGGAAAATGTCCAAGCCTTCCTGTCCTACAGAGCAGCTTTGTTCCCATTTTGTCCAGGCTCTTATTTTGAAAGGCTTCTGACCTTGACTTCCAAAGCTAGATGTACATCACTGTCAGTACAACACCTTTCTTGTTAAATTACAGAAGCTTTTATAGACAAACTCCTCTTTACTGAAGTCCCCTGAGCCATCAGGAGTTTTATTGATTTTTTTTTTTTTAAGGAATCCTCCCTTAGGGTATAGCTGAAAATGTCTGAAATGCTCTTCTGTCCCTCACCAATCTGCACTGTGCAAGGAGAAACATAGCAGCATTATGCCAARTAATCCAGAGCTGGTCACAAGGAGCCACTTCTTTCTCTTGGTCTGCAATAACTAGGCTAAAGGAAAGACCCAGGCAGCACAAGAGATGAGAAAATGCTACAGTAAAGAGTGTTGTTACACATGAAGACAAGAAACACCCTTCGATCTTAAAAATTATTTTAATTTCAGTATGTTCTCAAACCACTTGAAAACTTCACTAAACACATAAGTAATTTGAGATATTGTCTGGGGGCAGTATATCTTTCATATATTCCTAATTTGTAATATCATGCTGTGAAACTTGTTAAAAGACAAACCAGGAGCAGAGRTTGACAAATCCATGTTCAGGTAAACATGAATCAAGAACCAACCAGGACATGACATATATTAATCTCTGAGCCAAATTCCCCCATTGCATTCTGYGTATCTCTTCATATTGTATTTCTCCATGTTGTTAATGAAAATATGAATGTTATCTCCAGGTTTAAACTCTGCTCACAAACCTCAAAATTCATAAAAAATGTGAAGACCACTCAGACAGGCCTGGGARTTACATGAATAAAATGACTGGTTTCTATTTGTGAGGTATATATACATTTAATCTATTTCTGAGGACTTCTTCAAAGGCTGTCTCCCGGAGAGAGAACTGACCTGTGATGTTAATTAAATTCCAAGCCTCCCRTATTAGTCCCAACCTCTAAATACATCACCTATGTAGATTTGTGTAAAACCTGTTTGATCATGCCCGGTTTATGAGGTAAATTCAGCAACTAACATTAGTGTGTGTGTATTTTAAGAAAATCTGGTTTTCTGCATCTCTTTCAACACATAGCTTACTGATTTGTCCTCCTACTGTAGAATTTTTAAAAGTAACATCATAGTAGTGCATTACAAGAAATCTTAGTCATACCGAGTTCTCCTAACTCAAGAACAGTTTTAATTTCAGTTTCAGAGTCAGGCACAAAAGTGAACCTATGTAGCCTCATGCAGGACATGATGAGAGTTTTGTAAACCACAATCTTTCGTAACAAGAATAGACTCCCTGGCTCTTGTGTTCTCACACACATTTTATAACTTGCTGAAAAGCTGGCAATTAGAAGCCTCATGTCACATAATTAAATGCCATTGGTCAGGAGAAAAGTTTCCCATTTATAGGCTTGTTTTAATTATAAAGTTACAAAATAATTGAGTACTTTAAAAACATGAAGTTTACTTTCTTCGGATGAAAGCTGCCTTCCATCAGTTCAAGACTAACTCAAAMAAGGCATGGAGGTTTTTCCTTACCCTGAAAGATATTGAAAGCATGTTATCCTTTAGACAGAGGTACCCCTAAGAGTTAAGGATACTTATATAGGACAAGAGAGCTCAACCTTTGCAGAAGGCAGCAAATCCTTGACCATGGTGGCTGGAGTGCAACCAGAGCAGCAGTTACTAAATGTAAATGTCTTTAYACTGCAGGTCTTTGTTTTTAAAAATTGCCCATTGTCTGCACCAGAAAAAGCTACTAGAATGAAACCACTTCTAACAGTAGTCCATCTTAAAAAAGATCAGCATAGCACATCCCATAACAATCTCATTTCCTTGGGCAATATATTTGTGCCACTTCACTGGTACTATCATCAATGYTCCAAATGTGCTCCACAACTATCTCTTGCTCCATTTTAAGCACATTACTTTGTCCTATCTCCAGCAGACAAAGAACAGTTTATCCTCTGCCTTGCAGCAACCTCTTACATAGAACATGACTGATATCAGATGTCTAATAGCTCCTCCCTTAAAAACTCCAATTTTTTTTTCACCATTTCCCAGTCTCAGTTCCTAGATTTCTGATCTTTCCTGGAATAAATCTTTCTCTGTGAACCAAAGCTACTGTATCTACAGTTTTGAAATATCTCTATCCCAAGGCCTTAGCATTATCAAGAACAATGAAGGAACTTTCCTAAGGCAAACCTATGCATAGTATGTGTTTACACAGCCCATGCCATATTTGCTTTCTCCTACATTCAGATCTTGTTGACTTAATTTCAGCATGTGATCAAGCCCCGGATACTGTACAAAGCTGCTATATAGTTGTTTATTTAGTACTTCAGACTCCAATCTCATCCTCAAATGGACTGCAAACCTCCTGACTGAGTGTGAGTATATTTGCACAGCAAATTAATCTTAAAGTCTTTGCCTGAAAAGGTCTTTCACTTTTGAAATTTTAAAATCTGCAAAGAGTCTCCTATAAATCCATGTTAAGTAAAAAAAAAAAAAAAAGTGGGTATATACAAAAGGTATTCACATGCAAATTCATGCCATACTGACAGCAAAGGCATGACAGGCTTCAGTTTAAATTACTCTTTTTTAAAAGCAGCTACCACAAGCAGGATTCCCTAAAAACTGTTGGAAGGTACAGTACATGGTCCTGACTTCTGCCCAGGGCTTTATGTTGCGCAGAGAACCTACCCTTGGTGCCTGGGGTCAGAAAAAAGACATTTTTAATTTCTTTTTATGCAGACAAGGTAGCACAGCCAGACTCAGATTCTTAACTACTGAAGCCAGTTGCTGGTGGCTGATGTTTAAAAGAGCTCAATATCCATCATGGACTTTCAAGTGACTTTTAAAGATGTTTTGATGCATCTACTGGTGACCAGATAGACAAGAAAGGGAAAAGTACTCCAACACAATAATGTGTACTTATGTGTAGACAGCTTTGGTTCAAAATATCATCAGCTGCAAAGAAGGCGAAAAGTTCTGTGATAAACCAAAAAAATGAGGGCAGGAAAGAGAGTACCAGCCTCTTTAGACTTAACCTCTTAAAAGGGAAATCAGAAAATAACTGGTATCTCTCCTTCAGACTGTGTTTGTTATTACAAATTTCTTGGCTTAATCGGTATTGTGTATCTTTTTTTTAGCATAGCTGAGCAAATGCTCAAGTCTTTTTTATTTTTTTTAAGTATTTTCTTAGTCAGTTGTAACAGATCAGGACTCTAAGCACAGAAGTTCTCCAAAGCTTTGTTGTGCTTTTCAGTTTTCTGGTCTCCGAATGTATTTCATTGTCAAGTGCTTGGAAACCACTTTGAAAACAAACAAACAAAACAGCTAAAGAACAAAAATATCAATAATACTTTCAGACTGCTTTCTGCCTACAGCCTCATCTGACAGACAAAAGCCTCCAGACCTTGTTTTTAAAAATGTCTGTGAATTGAGGATTAGTTGCCAGAGTTTTTATATACATACTTGTGCTCCAGGAGCATATACCTGAAAAGAAATGGTTCAAAAGTCAGATATACAAAAGGTTTAGGGAAATAAAGTGGAGAAATCTAGATGAAACCAGTAAAAATATATGCAGTAAATGGAAGAGAAGAAGTCTCTTTGCCAATAAATTTTCTCAAGTTACCATTTATACTTTGCCTCTACTAAAAATGTGTCATCATAATAATTTACCACCCAATGGAACATTAAAAGCTCTCAAGGAAAATTATTACATAGTACACCACCAAAATATTGTAGAGATTCATAGAAGCTGCATTTTTGGCAATACTAGACAGCCATCACCCCAAATATTGTCATGCAGAAATGCAGRTACTAAGTATGTGCCTAGATCAAACCTTCTTGCTAGAAGAAAAATTACTCTGCTCAGCAGGCAGAGAAAGATCATTTTACTTGTCTCTGCTCAAAGATACTAATCAACCTTCAACATGAAAGAAAACACACTTACATCCAGGTAAAAATGCATATATCAAGTTATGCATTCTACTGTTGCCAGCTGAAAGCTTCCCAAAAAAAATCCCCTAT